CAGGTCCCTAATAAACACAGGGTGTCCCAAAGCCTTAGAGCAGTTGGGACACTTTGCTATTTGTTAAATTGAAACGCTCACAGAATGCCTCGGTGACATGAACGCGTTACTTACTCGCAAATGCTGAGGTTTTCCGGAGCCTTAGGTAGGGTTAGAGTTGTCTTTTTTTTCTAGTCTCTAAGCTTTTCGGAGAATGTTTAAGAGAGTGGATAACGTCCAGCCGTTCAAGTTTGGAAGAGAGAAAATCTGGCTTTGTTCAAGGTCGCGTGCAATCTTGAGGTTGAAACCTATTCCTTGCTATGTATGTTAGGAAACTGACTCAGTGGTCCTGGGGCACTGCCAGCAGTGTGTGTGTGCCCTGCCAGGCCGGAGACGTTTTGGGGCTGAGGAAGCAGTGCTTTGCTGGAAGCTTGGAGGGGACATTCTTTCAAAAGTAACATCAGCCTCCAAATCCCAGTCCTTTGACAACTGCCTTGTCAGCCACCCTAGAGAATTAAGTCCCTGGAACAGGGGTGATTCTGGGAGTTCCTAGAATTCGGCAGCTGTGATCTATAGGATTTCTATGGATGTGTCACTGTGGAAGGGTAGGTCTCTGTAGCTCCAAATGGATTTTAAATTTTTCTCAAAGGAATACGGAAAACGGCAAATGGATGAGTAACAGACTGTAGTGGGGTGAGATCCTCATATGTATCCCCCAGAAAATTCCTTCTAAAAACTATCTCTAAGTACTCTATGGATCGGCACCTATTCAAAACCAGAGTTCATGAGCTCCCACCAATATATTTACTTTTACCAGTCAGAGGGCATGTTAATTCAAGACCAAAAAACAAAAAAATCAATGTAAAGCATGACAAAATGATGAGAAAAGATTCTCTCGTGTTCACATAGCTTCGCCATAGCTTCCCATCCCACTGATAGGGGAGATTTCATGGAGAAAATGTATATGAGCCAGGGAATTTACATGTCTCGCTATGAGAGGGGTTCTTAAGCTTTATTGGGATTTCATGAACCCCTTTGATAGCCTGGTGAATGGCCGATTCTCAAAACAATATTTTTAAATTCACAAAATAAAATATTTAGGATTACTAAGGAAATCAATTATATTGAAATACAGTTATCAAAAAAATCTTTTAAGTTCCTGGACCCCAGATTAAGAACTCTGGATCAATGGCCAGGGGTAACTCAATTTTACGTGATGGGAAGTTGTCATGATTTGGCACTAAGTGTCATGCTGCTGTGTGCACATATTTCTACTGTCTTCCCTACTTTCTTTCATGGCCAAAGTGGTCCTCTGCTACCATTTGTGGGTCTTCAGCTCTTTGCTGGCACCTAGAAAGGTATAGTGATTAGAAAACCTCTCTCTGACCTCAAGAGATTGTGATGCCACAGCTTGGGAGGCCGCTAGCAGGAAAGAGTAGTGCCAGGCTGGTCCAGGGAGGAGAGCAGGTGGCCCGAAGGAGCAACAAGATCATTTGGTACCTTCTTATTTCAACTAATTATTTTTGCTATTATCTTGCAAAACTTAGTTGTTTTTACCTTAGGTGAAGGAGTGCAATTAATGTCCTCTAAATTTTGGCAACCTGAGCAAAACCCCATTCACTCCATTCTACTTACAACTCTGTTGCACACTACGATCTCAATAATTTGAATCCTGTCTAAGACAATTCCAAAAGACTCGGGATAGAAAATGCTACCCACATCCAGAGAAAGAACTACAGTCTGAGTGCAGATCGAAGCATACTATTTTATTTTATTTTTTGTTTGTTTCTTCTTTCTTGTGGTTTTTTCCCCTTTGGTTCTAGTTCTTCTTTACAACATGATTAATGTGGAAATATGTCTAATATGATTGTACATGTACAGCCTATATCAGATTGTATGCTGCCTTGGGGAGGAAGGAGTAGAGGGAGGGAGAGAAAATTTAGAACTCAAAATCTTATAGAAGTGAATGTTGAAAACTAAAATAAATAAATAAAATTTAAAAAACAAAAAAAATAAGGTGGATTCTAACTCTAAAAAAATAACAATTTCAATCCTGCTATTTAAAAATTTTAATTTTAAATATCATTTGGACCAAATTAACCTTTGGTGGGGGAAGGCATTTTTAAAGTAAACTGATACTGTAAACACAGTTTTAGGGAGAATGTTTCAACTACCTTATAGTATAAACTGAGTATTTGATAAGTATTCATTTAGATATAAACAATTGGTGTATTAATTAGAAATATTTTATTCACTAAAGTAGACTCCCTAACACTCTACTCTGATAAAATTTTATTGCTCTAGTTTGAATTACTTTGTATACTTTGAAGTAACAAAGCTCCATCATTTAAAACATATTCTTCAGACTTTTCATGCATTTAGACTGTTCTATCTTGTAGTGTAGGTTTATTATATGTAAATGCCTTGTCAAAATGGGAAATCAGTCACAATTAGTCATCACTTCATTGTGCCTAGAATTTGGTACAATTAAATTTAATGTTTAAAACATTTTAGTGCAGAAATGGAAATCCATGAAAAAAAATTAGTGAAACAAGAGCTAGTCTAGGGGAGTTTTTATCAATGACAAAAATCTATTATTCACAATGTCCACATAGCTATAGAACAATAACATATTCATAACAAGCCAGATAAGGCCCTGAAATATCTTCTGAATCATTAAGAAAAGATGAAATTACAAGCCGTATAGTTTTTATGCAAAATCCATTTTATTGTGATCTGCTTGTTTGAAAATTGAGAAAAAGAAGAAAGCCTCTTCTGCTATAAACATTCCTTAATCATCTTTGGAAACAGACCTAGCAGAGAAATTGCTGGGTCAAAGGGTATAGGCAGCTTAATAGCTCTGCGGGCATAACTCCAGATTGTTCTCCAAAATGGTTGGATCAGTTCACAGCTCCACCAACAGTGAATTAGTGTTCCAATTTTTCCACATTCCCTCCAACATTTGTCACTTTCTCCTTCAATCATTCTAGCCAATCTGGTAGACTATGATAAATACCTAAATTAATTATAAAGGACATATGAAGAATAATGCCATCTGTATCCAGAGAAATAACTGATAAACAGAAGTATGCTAAAATAATTTTACATATATATATATATATATACATATACATATATATATATATATACACACACCTATTTGTGTCTAATGGTAGCTGTCTCTAGGGTGGGGGAGAGGGAAGAAAAAAAGATAAAAGAGATTTACATGATAACTTTATTATATATTTAAACAGAACAGCAAGTTGTACATAGTAAATTTGCAGTTTCATGTGTAATTATCTTTTGTATTATACTATGTCATGGAAATACTGGTTTTATTCCATAAATTAAGAATAAAATAAATTAAAAAAAAATCCACTCTCTGACAGGGGCAGTCACTGTTTTTTTTTTCTGGTCTATAAGCTGTAATAGTTATTCATAATTGAAGAGGACCAAAATAACATCTCCACGTTGAGGCAGTGTGTGCGACTGTGGCTGATCAGACCCATATGAGGCTGGAAAACTTTGGCACAAGCTGGGCACAAATAGTCCATGTAGGGGCAGTTGGATGGCATAGTGGATAGAGCACCAGCCCTGGAGTCAGGAGGACCTGAGTTCAAATGTGGCCTCAGACACTTGACAACTTCTAGTAGCTTAACCTTGATTGCCTCACCAAAAAAAAAATAATAATAATAAATAAAAAAGTACATTTCTAAAAAAAATTGTCCATCTGAACATGTGGACTGGAGATGTCTAAATTCGTGCATCTCCTGTTTCTTTTGAGCTACTTCAGTTCTGCCTCGCTCATCGAGCACAGCACCTCTTTGAGTGGAGGCACGCCACACCACATGGTTGCTACGCCTCCCTGACAGTCACCAGCAGATGCTGCCTGGGATGCTCTAGGCTACAATTCGTTCCATTCTTTTTACTCCCTGTGTCCTAGACAACTCTCTGACTTACAGTCGGAAAATTCTTCATAACTCTTTTTCATTTAAAAAAAATTTTTTTTTGCAGTTGACAGTAGATGTCATTTTATTTTTTAAAATTTTTTAAAATTAATTTATTTTGATTTATCAACAATCACTTTCATATGCTTTTGAGTTGAAATTTTTCTCCCCCTTCCTCCCCTCTTACCCCCACCAAGATGCGCACAATTTGATATAGGCTTTACATTTACATACCCATTAAACATATTTTCACATTAGTGAAGTTGTAAGTAAAAATTAAAACCAATAGGAGGAACCATCAGAAAGATGAAACAAAACCCAACAGAAGGTAAAAATAAGTGACAGCAATTCGACTTCCATAGTTCTTCCTTTGGATGTGGACAGCATTTTCCATCCCGAGGCCTCTGGAGATGTCTTAGATCCTTGTAATGCTGAGAAGGGTTCAGTTTAACAATCTTAGTCATCACATAACGTGGCTGTTATTGTGTACAATGTTCTCCTGGTTCTGCTCACTTCACTCAGCATCAGACCATACAAGTCTTTCCAGGTTTTTCTGAAGTCAGCCTGTTCATCATTTCGTATAGCACAATAGTATTCCATTACATTCATATACCACAACTTGCTCAGCCATTCCCCAATGGATGGGCATCCTCTCAATTTCCAATTCTTTGCCACCACAAAAAGAGCTGCTATGAATATTTTTGTACACGTGGGTCATTTTCCCATTTGTTTGATCTCTTTCGGATATAGCCCTAGAAGTGCTATTGCTGGATCAAAGGGTATGCACATTTTTGTAGCCCTTTGGGCGTGGTTCCAAATTGTTCTCCAAAATGGTTGGATCATTTCACAACTCCACCAACAATGTATTAGTGTATAACTCTTTTTTAAGCACTGATGGAAATCCTGTCCCCCCAAAGGGGTCTGAAAAAAAAACCCTGAAGGGCCCAGAGATGCTCCCAGTACCAAAGTGACTAGACCTCCTGAAGGCGGGGTTAGCCTTCTTCTGCTGAGCCCCAGAAGGCAGAGCTCTGAGCTCTGCTGGGAGGTGCGGGTCTCCTTTTGGGGTCTGTCAAGTTAATGAGCGTTTATTAAATACCTGCTATGCACCTGGCACAGTGCTGAGTGCTGGGCGTGCAAAACAAAGTGTAAGAAAATGCGTCTTCTGAAGGAGCTGCAGACAAACTAGCTGTGTATGGGATAGGTTGGGGCGATGACCTCGGAGAGGAGGAAGACCCTGGCCTGGAGGCGCCCAGCCTGCAGAAGGCACAGGGATTTTAGCTGGAACCTGAAGGCAGCCCTTGAGGGTTCCGAGGACGTCTTTAATAAAAATAGTTCCCATGCCCTCAGGTGAAAGAGGACAGGGAGGGAAAAAGATGAAAGCCCAGGCAGAGTCGGCCAAAAGGGTTCCACAGAGGGGGACCCAGGAGCCCTTCCTCACGGCCTGAAAAATGTTCTTTGGCTCTTCTGGCCCCAAAGGGCCACAGCTGGGGCCCAGACAAGGGCACCTAGGGGTGACAGTAACCCAACTGCCTCAGGTTCTCCCAAATGAGGATAAACATCTTGAAAAGCAAGGGAGGCTCTTGCCTTGCCTCCAGGAGTTTATGTTCTTTTCTGGAGAATAGCTGGGGTGGTAAATAAGGCTAGTGATTATGGACTTTGTTCAGAGTTCTCATGGCTGCAGGTGGAAGGGGGCGAGGGAGGTGGCAGGAAGATGGGGAGGGCCATGGGAGAGTCCAGTCTGTCTTGAATTGGGTCTGGATGACTGTCAGGAGACCAAGGTCTCAAGGGCTAGCTCGCTCATCATGCAGATGAATCTCAAAGAAGAAAGTTACTCAGGAAAGTGGTTTGGAAGCAGTTGTCCAGGCTTCTGGTCTGGGGGGCCTTTTCAGAGCAGCATCATTGCCAGCTTTTCTGCTAAGATGTCTGCTGTCAGGTTCAGGTTACAGGCGCGAAGTGCCTGCTGGATGGTGGACACGTCAGCTTCTTTATAATTTGATTTTTTCCAGAGTAATAGCGACTGGTAGAATTGCTCCTTCAGATCACGAGGATGTGCATAAACAATCCTGTCGATGTCCACCTGGGAAACGCCAAGCTTCCGAACCAGCCTCTTCCAGTCCCGGCCCACCTGGTCACAAAGGGTGTCGAAGGCGACCTCCAGCTGGGCTGCAAAATAAAGAGCTAGAGCATGTGGGAATGGCTTTGAGAAAGAGAAGTCTATAAACCCAGTGTCTAGCGTGCACCAGCGACAAGCCTTTAAACATCACTGGACATCCACCAAGGCTCAGACCTCGATGCATTCCCTCTTCACCTCATACCTTAGAATCCCTCCCTCCCTTTTTTTTCTTTCCTTTCCTCCCTCCCTCTCTCCATTCATCCCTTTCTTCCTTCCCTCTCTCCCATTCTTCCTTCCAGCCTCTCTCTCTCCCTCCCTCTTTTCCTTCCTTCCTTTCTCCCTGCTTTTCACTCTCACCCTTCCTTCCCTCTTTCTTTTCCTCCCTCCCTTTGTTTCTTCCTTCCCTCTCTCCTATTCTTTCTTCCTTCCCTCCCTTGCTTCCTTCATTCCCTCCCTCTCTCGCATCCATCTCTCCTTTCCTTGTTCTTTCCCTCTCTCCCATTTTCCCTCCTCTCCCTTTCTTCCTTCCTTCCCTCCCTCTCTTGCATTCGTCTCTCCCTTCCTTGTTCTTTCCCTCTCTCCCATTTTCCCTCCTTCCTTCCCTCTATCTCATCCTTCCCTCCTTGCCTCTTTCCATCCCTATTGCTGGCACCACCATTTTTTCCAGTCACTCTCATTTTTCTTGATTCCTCACTCTTTCTCTGCCCCCCCCCCACAGTCAGTTACCAGGTCTTGTTAATTCTACCCAAAGATTTCTTCCAGTTGCCCCTCCTCTGGCAGGACAAGGGTTGTGCCTTTGGCTTCTCAGGCAAAATCACCATTTCTATGACCCCCAAATAATGCTCACACATCTATCCCCTGACCTGGATGACATCATGGACAGTACTATCTATCCTGGTCATTTGAGGGATTTTGCTTTCCTGGGCATGTGGGAGAGAGTGGGGTAGATGGTCACTGAGTCTTGGGCCCGGCCCTCCATCCACAGGGATGAGCGCCTGCTGCAGGGAGGGAGGCAGCCAGACACCTGGGGATCTGGGACCCAGGCAAGGGCTCAGGATCTGTAAAATCGTAGAATGCCAGAGCTGGTAGAAATCCCCAAACCCAGCTGCCCAATGTCCTCATTCAGAGGAGAGGACCCAGAGAGGAAGGGACTTGCTCCAACTCACAGGATTTAAACTCAGAGCCCCTGCCTCCAAATCCAGAGGTCTTTCCACTGCAGCCTTCCTAGACGCATCCTCCCCCTTTAATGCCACGAGGCCAACCCCAAAGGTGGAGGCCGACGCCCTACCTTCCACCTTCGGATCGAGCTGCTCCCCAGGACCAGGCTTGTTTTTCACACAATTGGCCAGCTCTTGTATCAGATCTTCCCTCTTCAGGCTCTGGAGCATTGAGCTCAGGAATTCAGTATTGTTCACAGAAAGTAAGTTCAGCTGCATCAGGCATGAGAAGAGCTCGATCCCATGCTCAATCTCATGCAGCTTCCTCTTCCCAATTTTCGTCTTGCAAAGGAATTTCATGTCTTCCAGCTCCCTCCTTGACAGGTTGGAGGAGACGTGCTGTAGCACGACAAAGAATGGGTCTACTTTCTCCATGGCCCTTGGAGTGAAGGAGTGAGCCTGCAGCTGGAAGAAAGGTTCCCAGAAGTTCAGAGCCAGAAGAGGCCTCCAGGCCGAGCCAAACCTCAACAAGCATCCCCTCGACAACACTGCCACTGTATAATCTATGTCAGATTGTGCGCCGTCGTGGGGAGGGTGGTGGGGAGGAAGGCAGAGAAAAAATTTAAACTCAACAGTATACAGTGGGGCAGCTAGGTGGTGCAGTGGATAGAGCACCGGCCCTGGACTCAGGAAGACCTGAGTTCAAATCTGGCCTCAGACTCATAACACTTACTAGCTGTGTGACCCTGGGCAAGTCACTTGACCCTGTTGCCTAACCAAAAGAAATAAAAAGCAAATGGAAGTGATTGTTGACAAGTCAAAATAAATTAATAAAATAAATCTAAAAAAACAACACTGCCAACCAGTGGCTGTCTAGTCTCTGCTTGAAGCCCTCCAGTCAGAAGGGGACCCATCACCTTCCAAGGCTGTCCATGCCTTTTGGGGATGCCCTGATCATTAGGAAGTGCTTTGATTGCCAGCCTCAACTGGCTTCTTTGCAACTGCCCCTCACAGCTCCTGGTTCTGTCCTCTGGGGCTCAAGAGAATAAGGCAGATCCTTTTTTCAACCCTTTATATACCGAAGACCAAAATCATGTCCCCTTAATCAATGCCATGTTATAATCACACCCTCATAATTCTTTGACTGGTCCTTAGCAGTTACAAATGATCTCTCAGTTCCCAAATGCAATGGCCCCTTTTCCAGCTCCACCCTCCTAGACCTCTGTGCAGTCTTTGACACTAGTGATCACTCTCTCCTCCTTGACCCTCTCTTCTCTCCAGGTTTTTGGGACACCCTCTCCGTGTGCGGCCCCCCGTGACTCCCCCCTCCCCCTCAATTTTCTTCCTAGCTCTCTGACCTCTCCTTCTCTGTCTCCTTTACTGGATCTTCCTCCACATCACCCCCTCTCACTGTACATGGCACGTGTCCCTCAGGGCTCTGTCCTGGGCTCTCTGCCCTTCTCCCTCTACACTGCCTTGCTGGGTGATCTCATCAGTTCCCAAGGATTTAATGAGCATCTGTCTCTATGCTGATGATTCTTAAATCTACTTCTCCTGCTCCAAAGTCTCTGCTGACTTCTAATTTCTCATCTCTGAATGCCATTCAGACATCTCGATCTGCATGTCCAGCAGACAGCTTAAACTCAATATGTCTAAGATGGAAGCCATCACATTTGCCCTCTGCTACCTTCTGTAGACGGCACCACCCTTCTCCCAGCCCCTCAGGTTCCCAATGTGGAAATCATCCTGGACTCTTCATTCTCTCTCACCCCCCTCCCCCCACCACATCCAATAAGGTGCCAAGACCTGTCGATTTCCCTTCTGCACCATTTCTGCAATGTGCCTTCTTCTCTCCTCTGACACTGCCCCGACCCTGGTGCAGGGCCCCATCACCTCCCACCTGGACTGTTGGAAAAGCTGCCTTGAGTCTCTCCCCACTTCAGTCCATCCTCCATTCAGCCACCAAAGGGATTTTGTAAAGCACAGGTCTGACCTTGTCACCTCCTACTCTGGAAACTCCAGGGGCTCCCTATTGCCTCCAGGAGCAAATACAAAATGCTCTGTTTTTCATTCATGGCCCCTTCCTCCACCTTTCAGTCTTTGTATACCTTACTCTTCACCAGTGACACTGGCCTCCTGGCTGTTCCTCAAACCAGGCCCTCTGGCTCTGAGCATTGAGCCATGCCTGGAATTCTCTCCCTCCTCTGTTCTAACCCTAACCTCCTTGGCTTCCTTTAAGTTCCAGCTAAAATCTCATCTTTATTAGAAGTCTTCCCCAATCCCCCCATTCCAGTGCCTTCTCTCTTTCAATTATTTCCTCTATCATATCCACAGCTTACTTTGTCTATATTTGTTTGCGTGTTGACTCTCCCTTTAGATTATAAGCTCCTTAAAGGCAGGGACTGTCTTTTTGTTGTTGTTGTTATTAATTCATTTAGATTTATCAGCAATCACTTCCATATGCTTTTGAGTTTAACATTTTTCTCCCCCTTCCTCCCCACCACCTTCCCCAAGACGGCACACAATCTCATATAGGCTATACATATACATTCCTATTAAACATATTTTCACATTAGTGATGTTGTAAGTAAGAATTAGAACCAATAGAAGGAACCACCAGAAAGAAGAAACAAAACTCAACAGAAGAAAAAAAAATAGCAATTAGTATGCTTCGATCTACATTCAAACTCCATAGTTCTTTCTTTGGATGTGGATAGCATTTTCCAACATGAGGCCTTTGGAGATGAGGGAGTGTCTTTTAAAAGTTTTTAAATTTGTTTTATTTTAAATGTATGGAATAAAACAAGCATTTCCATAACATGGTATAATAATGATAATAAAAAGATTTCACCTGAAATTGTAAATCTATTAGGTACAATTTGCTATTCCTTTTAAATATACAATAAAATTATCATGTAAATGTCTTTTTGTTTCTTCCCTTCCCCCCCCATGGCTACCATTAAATAAAAATATGTATCTATATGTAAAATTATTGTATACACACTTCTATTTATCAGTTCTTTCTCTGGGTGCAGATAGTGTCTTCCTTCATAGATCCTTTGTAGTTAATTTCGGCATTTCTAATAGTCAAAATGACTTATTCACTCAAAGTTGTTCCTTTTTAAAAAATTAAACTATTTATTTATTTTTAGTTTTCAACATTCACTTCCATAAGATTTTGAGTTTTTAATTTTCTCCCCCTCCCTCTCCTCCCCCCTCCCCAAGACTTCTTTCAAATGAATTTTGTTATTATTTTTTCTACTTCAGGAAAATAATTTTTGGCAATCTAATTGAGATGGCATTGAATATATAAATTAGTTTAGGTAAAATTGTTATTTTTATTATATTGGCCCTGCCTACCCACGAACAAGTAATATTTCTCTAATTATTTAAATCCGATTTTTTTATACAAAAAGTTTTTTTAAAAATAATTTTATTTGTATAGTTCCTGGGATTGTTTTGGCAGGTGTACTCTCAGGTATTTTATACTGTATAGAGTTATTTTAATGGGGTATCTCTTACTGTCTTCCTTTGTTTCTGATACATAGGAATGCTGATGATTTAAGTGGATTTACTTTGTATCCTGCTACTTTGCTGAAATTATTGTTTCAGCTAACTTTTTAGTTGAGTCTTTGGGTTTTCCAAGTATATCATCATATTGTCTGCAAAAAAAGAGACAGTTTTATTACTTTATTCCCTATTCTGATTCTTTCTCTTTCTTTTTCTTCTCTTATTGCTCTTGCTAGGATTTCTAATACAATATTGAATATTGGTGATGGTGGGCATCCTTGTTTCACACCTGATCTTAGTGGGAAGGGTTCTAACTTATCCTCATTACAAATAATGTAGTTAAATTTTTTTTTTATCAATTTAAGGAAAAATCCATTTATACCTATACTTTCAAAAATTTTTTTGTGGTTACAATGTTTATTTTTTTCTTTTTAATAATTAATTAATTTATTTTTAGTTTTCAACATACACTTCCATAAGATTTTGAGTTTCAGATCTCTCCTTCCCCTCCCCAAGATGTTATGCAATCTGATACAGGCTCTACTTATACGTTCATATTAAGCATATTTTCCCATTAGTCATAAACTTTCAAAATTTTTTAATGGCAACAAGTGTTGTACTTTATCAAAAGCTTTTCTGCATCCATTGACATAATCATATGACCTTTTAAAACTTTTATTATTGATATAACCAATTATGTTAATAGTTTTCCTTATGTTAAACCATCCCTGCATTCCTGGTATAAATCCCACTTGGTCATAATGTATAATCTTTGTAATATATCATTGTATTTTTTTAGCTAATATTTTATTTAGGATTTTTTGTACCCATATTCATTAATGAAACTGGTTTATAATTTGCTTTCCCCGTTTTTACTCTTCCTGGCTTAGGTATCAATATCATATTTATTTCATAAAAGGAATTTGGCAGGATCCTGTCTTTGCCTATTATTCCAAATAATTTATTTAATATCAGAATTAGTTGATTTTTAAATGTTCTTTTTAGGCTAGGCAATGGGGTTAAGTGACTTGCCCAGGGTCACACAGCTAGTAAGTGTTATGTGTCTGAGGCTGGATTTGAACTCAGGACCTCCTCAATCCAGGGCCCGGTGCTTTATCCACTGTGCCACCTAGCTGCCCCGATTTTTAAATGTTTGATAGAATTTACTTGTAAATCTATCTGGTCTTGGTGCTTTTTTCTCAGGAAGCTCATTTACAGCCTGTTCAATTTCTTTTTCTAAAATAGGTCTATTTAGATTTTCTATTTCCTTTTCTGCTAACCTAGGCAATTTATATTTTTGTAAACATTCTTTCATTTCACTTAAATTATTAAATTTATTGACATATAATTTGGCAAAATAACTCTTAATAAGTGCTTTAATTTCATCTTCATTAGTGGATACTCACTCCATTTTTGATACTAGTAATTTTGTTTTCTTTCTTTTTAAAATCAAATTAACCAATGATTTTATTGATTTTTTTCATAAAACCAACTTCTAGTTTTATTTATTAATTCAATGGGGTTTTTTTATGCTCAATTTTGTTAATCTCACCTTTAATTTTTGGGATTTCCAATTTAGTGCTTAATTGGGGATTTTTAGTTTGTTCTTTTTCTAGCTCTTTTAATTGTATAGCTAATCTATTGGTTTATTCTTTCTCTATTTTATTGATGTAAGCATTTAGAGACATTTTTCCTCTGATCACTGCTTTTGCTGTATCCCATAGGTTTTGCTATATTTTCTCACTATTTTTTTTCTTAATGAAATGATTGATTACTTCTATGACTTGTTCTTTAACTCACTCATTTAGGCTGTTTAATCTCCAATTAGTTTTTAGCCTGTGTTTCCATGGTCCCTTATTAAATATAATTTTATTGCATTGTGATCTCAGGAAGAAACTTTTAATATTTCTGCTTTTAGCTATACAATTTTTATGCACTAACATATGGTCAATATT